CAAAAAAAATTCATATAATTTCAAAATTTTATTTAATTGAACATTTCTTTTTTTTATTCTAAATAATATCAATATAATAATTTATAAGTTTACCGAATTATATATGGATTTAAAACTGAATTATCCACTTATATTATATATATTATAATATTGTAAATACGTCATATAAACAGCACCTGGTAGGTTCAACCGTAACAGCACTAGAAAGTTGCTTCGGATCTGCTTTTCCATTTGTAAGATCAAGCGGTGCAGTTGACGATGTTTCACTACTGTATTGTGATACCGCTGGTACTGCTCTTGCTACAGCAGAACTATATAGCTCTCGTTTTGCCTGCTGCAAAAATGATAAATTATTTCGAAAGTAAATCAATAACTTTAAGGAATATCCAGTAAGAGCTCTAATCAGAGATAAAACCCTGATTCAAGGTTTCATTATGAGGAGTTCAGAAGTAATAGAAAAAAGATGAAATGCATATAATTCTGTTTACTAATAGTCAATCCCTCAGGAATAAGAGGGATATGTTCGAATCATATCACAGTGAAAATATCACAGTGAAAAGTTTATTTCATTAAAGCGAACCAAATTGCTTACTGTTATTTCATTAGTAACTGCCAATTTAACGGGCCTATCACACTTGCGTTTACGGGTTCCAAAATGGGTATTCTTTTCTGAAGTTAATTTTAGTCGTGTTGATATGGAAGTATCACTATTGCTTTGTGAAAGTGGCGAATGAGCACTTACGCTTGCTTCCGAAGAACCGGCAAAATATAGCAGATTATCCTATAAAAATAAATTAAAATTATCAAAAAAAAAAAAATTCAAGCTTAATAGTAAATAATTAAAAAATATTTACAATGTTTCGTAGAGTAGGAAAAAAAAAACTACAATGCGATTTTGAAATAACTTATAAAATTAATTTTGCAGACTGTTATAATTCTGTCACTCTCGCTCATTTCATCTACTCAGAAAAAGCGAAAGTTCATCGAGGAACTCCAGATCTGTGTTTTTATAGATGCTCTTATTGAATGCGTGAACAAAATTAAGTACAAAAGCGCGTTTCACAACAGCTTCCAATGTCTGATTTGTGTGGATTTTTTCTGCCACAGTTTTCATTTTGTCGACCGATAGTTTTGAATTTCACTCCCGTCAAAGCTTTTTTTCCTCTCCGAATATACCATTGAATTTTAATTATTCCAATACCAACTGATGCCCTTACGATAACCGAAATTATTCTTACGTCAAAAATGAAGTGGATCCGTTCCTTTCTGTTTTTAATTTTTATGCATTAAAGATCTCTGAGAGATGCTCGTATCTATTATTAATCACTTTTATTTTTCATTTTCAAGCAAATTAAATTTACTCATTTACTCTAAAAACTGGCATCCCAACATCGATATACTTCAAACTTTACTATTACAACGGACATACTATAAAAATGGATAATTCTTCCCATTCGAGAAAATGAGCGGTCGCAAAAAAGTAAAGAAATGAACAAACCATTTTTGGAACAGAACTGTCACGCGAATCATCACCACTGAATGAATCGAATTGTCGTTGTGTTGCGGAGGTGTGCAGCTTTGGATTAGGATTAGCTGAATGTCGGTTTCTGTAACGAGAATAATTCAAATGTTAAAATATTTACCAGATATGATTTTAACATTTCTCTCAGCAATTTCATAAGTTAGTTAGTATGTAGATAGTCTAAAACGAAAGAATATTCAATATTCTTCAGTTCTTATTTGTTAAGGTCACCAAATTCAACAACACCACCGGATTATCCAGTATTACTTCGACGTACTAATAATAAAATATAAATAGTATCTCAACGAAGTTTATTACTTATTACCTCCGAATACTCACTGTCGTTCACCATCCGGAAATATTATTCCTATCGTATGTATTTTCCCTGGTAAACTATATTCATTCTAGTCACTGATTTAAATAGAGCGAAACTTCACATAATTCATGGCAGAAATTATACTATCAAATCTTAGCAAGCTATGAAAAGCCAGCCACCCATCCCATCTACAAAATAAAAAATCTATTATTTTGTGAATTTCAAATAACTTATTTGTATTTTATCAAAACTGAAAAAGAACATACCTGCTTCGCCTTGATGAAAACATCATTTCACATCCTTCTACTGTACACTTATGCATTTCTTTCAAATGTACTGCACTGTTATGAATTTTCAGTGCCCCTTTATCACAGAATGTTTTGAAACATTTCAAGCATTGGACTCGTCTCTTACCATTACCTTTTGTTGTCTAAAGGATTTTAAAGATTTTACAGACTTGGTATATTAGTGCTATACAGCACATAGAAAAAATCATTATTTCACTTTTGAGCCAAAATAATAGCGATAAAAAAAGGGAGAAAAATGGAAAAGAATGAACCACCGCATTAAAGGATAAACGACAGGAATATAAATTACCTGAGTTATCGATTTCCCTTTCAAATCACCACTTTCGATGAATGGTGCAGCATCAAATTTGACAATTCCTTCATCGATAACTGTCGTCTCATCATACTGCTGCTGCTGCTGTTGTTTTTGTTGTTGCTGTTGTTGTTGATGTTGCTGCTGTTGCTGTTGTGACTGTTGCACCACTTCTTTCCCGACAATTTCATCGACTTCATCAGCAACCAACTCTGATGAAACATGCTCATCACTTGCAGATGCTTCACAACCACTCGTTGATTCCGATACTCGAGAACCTTAACTTCAAACAATTAAATCCACTCTTGAAATGGCGAAAACAAAGACCCCAATTGTCGATTCAAATTTTTGAAGTGATACAGTGGACCCGGAATATATTATTTAGGATAGATAGGACCTAGGCGAAAACTTGCAATATTTCCAACTCAGTAGTTAAAATGATAGTAATTTAGGAATCTAATAGCTTATAATAACAAAGATTTATGCTGGAAATTCCAACTGATTAGAAGATATGAATAAATATCTTTCATAAACAGCTAATTTGTAAAAAGTTTAAAAGATGATCATTAAAAACGTCTTAAAATCCAAAGAATTTTTCGGTATTCTGGTCTTTTCGCATTTGAACAAAATAAAATTCATATTAAACGATTATTTACATCAGTTTGTTAATCCTAACTTCTAACTTTCAGAGAATGCAAATACAATTTTTTAAAATCATACATGATTAGCTGTTAACTTCCAATCGAACTTCCAATCGAAATAAAATCATTGCGCACATTTTTTCAGATATAATGCAAACAATGCAACGATTTCACTTTCGCCTCCTCATTATAAAATTGAGAAAAACAGTAACAGAAGAATTTGAACAGTAATAAAAATGCTAACAAGGTCGTAAAAGCATATCGGCAACTGATCCATGAGAAACATTCAACATTGGTGGTGGAAATCCTACAAATGCTGGCCAACTATGTAAAAACGATGGCACCAATGATCGACGAAGTGGATCAACCAGATCGGCACATGAAGTGATACCCGTGAAACGATCCATAAGTTGTAATTCGCACTGCACATTAGCACACATCCAATTATTCAGAGGTTTACCTGTCTTAACGTCCTGAAATAATACATTTTGTTAAATTCGTATTTTACCATGAATGGTGCATGAAGAATGATAGCTCACACATCGACTGTATCAGGAGTAAACTAGCCACAGCAAAAACATTGCATATCTTTTAAATTCTTTAAAATTACTAATCTTTAAGAAATTATACCAAAGATGGATGTACGCAAAGCCATCTCAACGACAACTAACTACAACAAATCACATTCACTTGTGAAAACTATAATATATAATACTCCAGAATAGAAATTCGTTAAATTTTAAGGAAGTAAATAAACTGACTAAAAGCGAGCAAAAGATAAGAGGAATATTAAAAAAAGAGACTGAATGTGAGCAATGCTTGTAATCTGTCGACGGTATCCAAAAGAGAATGAAATTTCGTTTTCGAATTTATATTTTGGTCATGTCGATATTTCTACCTTCATTTCAAAAGTCGATAGTTAAACGATGGCAATTCAATCTTGAAAAAATTTATGCCGCCATTAAAAATTACTAAGGATTGGTGTAATGCAAGATAACAAACAACAGTGATACTGTTACTGCAGGCAGGGAAACGAAACCACGATAACAATAGCTAATCACCAACAACACATACATTTTCTTAAAAATTGCATTCAATTATTTTACTTTAAAAGCGCTTCGTCTTTTCTCCGATTGCGCCAAATATATCGCCGAGAATTTGTGTTGCTTCATTTTCATTTCCATTCTGCAAGCTACTTTCAAATTATATTTGACACTGCTTTTCGCTGGCAGCTTTCCAAGCACAAAAAAATCCACGAAATATAATCAGACATATTAGCTTTAAAAAAACAGGAATGAACGATTGTGCTACGTAAATTACAGTACTTCTAAATTTAAATCCTAAAAGTATTCTGATGAAAATATTCCAAACTTATAACAGGAGACTTTTCATCTCATAATTACTCGAAGCGTATGATTTAAACGTCAAAAAAAATATTTCAATTTACGACCATTTTAACCAAATAAAAACAAAACAACAGCAAACATAATTAGTATCCATATTAATAAAATTATCGCAAAACTCCATGACATGCAATTGCAAAAGTAAGCTATTGGTTAAATTCGTATGATTTTTTCAGTGAATTTAAAGTAAAACGATCAGATACTAACAAACTGCAAGCGCTAAAATCAAATCGATATATAAAACAGTTTAATCCTTCACACATTATGTACTTCAATAAATGTGAGCATGTGAGCGTCAATAATCGAAAAAATGACAGCATTTTGCATAATTCTATCCATTGTAGCATAAATTAGTATTCACCATTTCTTCCCACACTCAGCAAGTTAAACAGTTAAGCATTATTAATCATGCACTGTTCAATCGTTACAAAGTAAATTTTTTGTATTCAAATCACATACTTTTTTAGACACAGGAAGTAAGAAGTGAAAGCTTCAAGTAGGAAAGGAGGTAATGAAATTTTAAACATCCCTTAATAAATAGATATTCATAAATTTTATCAAGGGATGTTTATTATTAAACAACATTTTCATCCGATCCTAAAAAGACAATTCCTAGATTGCAGCTAAAGAATTATTCCAAGTTAAGCTATAAAGCTTATGCAGAGAATTCTATCAAGAAATTTTGCAAAATTTTGATTGGCTGATAAGTTCGTGATTATAATTAAATAAGCAAAACATTCAAGCAAAATGCATTTAATCTTGTGTGAATATTATTTTTTCTCACTAATTTATGGTCCATAATTATTTTAGAACCAAAATTCAATTAAAAGCGGATAGGTAAAAACTATTTGATTATAATTAAATGAAATAAGTTAAATGTTCAAGCTACATATGCAATTGCGTGTTTATGAGGGTTGCCATATAAAAACAAAAAAAGAAAAAATAATAGCAATAGATAAATATATGGAAAAGATAATAGGAGTATAGGATGAAAGGAAAGGATTATAAATTGATGCTTGTAGCCACCACGTGATGATATTCTTATACATCAGGACAGAGAGTGTCACTAAGCAATTTTGTTGTTGAAAATAACATCTTTCAAAAGCTCGTTTGTTGAAGCACATCAAATTGCTTTTGGAAATTGCTGTGATTGTCTCACCACATCGTTTCAAAACCACCATCACTACCATCACCACAATCACCAACAAACTAATTTACTTTCATCGATATCAATTTTTGAAATACGAAATATATGAATGATAGATACTAAATTTTAACTTTTAGCACAGTCTATGATGGTAAAAAACCCATTATATGAAATATATTTACTTTTTTTTCCTTCCCTAAAAAAACTTTTTCTGCGATACGCATCAATACAAACATTCCGAATCTTCGAAATTTCTGATCTACTCTAAGATTATAAAAAGAGTAAAAAGAGCACATATTAGCCTATCGTGCTATAAATGCAGTCATAGCGAGATATTACCCCGAAATGATCCTCCATCGATATATTTGAAATGAATGTTTCTACATTTATAACAACAACTCCACTACTTTTATCATAACAAACAAAAATTAAAATTAGAGGAGAAAACAGGGAAGACAATCTTTTCATCCTCTTAATTACTAACATTTTAATTTCACACCTAAATAAAAGCTTTATTGCGAATTTTGTACATATAGTCCTCCTGTTGGCTATTACAATTTAAAGCAGCAAATGCACTTAATTCCATTCTGCTAATATTAACAAATATTTCAGTTCTACATAGTTTATTTCAGTTTTACAACAAATATTTCAGTTTTACATATGTTAAGAGATGTATTTTAACAGGAAATATTGCATCATTGAAAGACCTATTTGCATACGGATGTTAGAGTATAAATTTATGGGTTATTTCAATCCTTCTATTGTTGTTATATTCATAGCATTACTCCATGTTCCAGGAAGGCACCAATTTATCTTAACACTTAATTTGAGCCTTGGCTCTTCGTTAGCCTATGTCCACACCACACATCCAAATGAATGACATCGTCATCTCGCTTGAAATTTGCATTTTGAAACTGAATATCTTTCACATTTGAAATTAAGGACAGCGGACATCACCACAAATGTAACAACTTATTATCTTAAAGATAAATTTAACCGATGAAAATTCCAAAAGTCATTTACTGAACACTTAAATATTGCCGACACTTTACTGATTTTGCAGAAATGATAAAGGAAAAAAATTAGTCACTCAACAAAAATTTCAGAATAAATTTTTAACCAAAAATTTACAATAGATCGTCTACGGATGAATAGATTCTGATGAAGATAATATTGGATGTTTTGAAAAATGGTGCATAGCTTAATGACAAAAAATCTCATAGACATAGTTCACATTGTCACCCTCGCCCAAAAATAGTATGTTCAGGGCGTACACCGATAAATCACCCATGTCGCCAGTTCCTAAATATTATATGTCTTTTTTCCCTGAAGAAGAGGCTTATCCGAATCCAACCAAAAAATGCTTCAATCTTGTCCCTTCTTTTTCGGATGCATATATTTTCGCCACTTCTCAGCTAAAAACCACTAAAATGTTCGCCACTTCTCAGCAGTAATTTATCGAGAACATAATTATGCACTTGTCTTCTTTTCTTTTGCTAAAAGAAAGAGTCAGAAATTCTAAGATAACTTAATAGATATTCGGTATAAATAAAGATGAAGCATTTGTCTATACATTTGTTTCTCTTGTCCATTTTATGCCATCCTATCTCAATTCCAAAAAAAACACTTCAAAGTACTTAAACCAGTTAGTTATATCAACAACGCTTTCTCATTTACCACAAAAAGGAAAAAACCGCAGCTTCTCGCTTAAACACAATTACAAATAGTCATCAAAAGATATCATCATCATGTCCTCAACTCATCAATTCTATTTTTTTCATCGAAAAATATCAAAAGTGACGTTCTATTATTCACTTCCAATATTTTGAATGAAAAATTTATAGAGATGAATTCCTTCTAAATTCTTTTTACTCATTAAAATATTTTTTCCGTAATAAAACTAAAACACACACAAATTAGCAACCTGTTCATTACAATAAACTAATCTATTCCATATAATGTATATTAATTGCCTCAGCGTTCATATTTCTCTATCGTTTAAATTATTGGAAGTTATAAATAACTATCCAATAACTGTAACTATAACAAACCAGGCCTAATGTCTATATTATTTGTAATAAAATAGAATATTTCGAAAGTCAAATATTTCGAGAATATAGCATGCGGCATTGATGATGACAACATAATATAATATATGGTAACAGTGAAATAATACAATGTCGACAGTACTGAAAAGAGGAATTGTTTGAGTGAACAACAAAGGAGAAACGAACAGTCACTAATGTCACCTGTGTGAAGAAGGCGACACTAATAAATAGACGAGCAGAGAAGTGACATTAATGTGTGCTATAAGAAATGTGACACATACATAAACATATACACATACATACACACACAAACAAACGCTTAGAAATTGTAAAGAGAGAGAGGTAGTACGGTAGTATAAATGGATCATGTAATCAACTGGAAATTATATGTAAGAAAGAGATTGAGGTACATTTCTCAACTAATTGAAACCTTCTACTATTCGTTAGAAGCGTCTAAACCGTCATAGATATTTTAAATAAGCTAGAATAAACTTATTTTATTGGAATAACAATAATTATAGTAGCAGCATTAAAATAGGTACGAGTATCAATGTCCACCTCAGCAATATACATATGGTGCCTCGAAACAGAATTACCTAAAATAGCAGTCCAAATAGAAACAAAAGTCATATTAGTCTGACCAGTGCTGCCACTATAATTATTGCTAATCTCATAAGCTAAAAAAGATCAAATAAGCTAGAAACGATCATTCAATAAATATATTAAATTATAAGCCTTTTTCTAGAGAAGAAAAAGTATAAGAAAAAGGGTAATGCGCGATTATGTCATCAAAATAAAAAACTTACTGCAATGACCTCAAGCTGCAAACAAGTAAATGCATCTTAACACAAGTTGTCGTATGTATAATATATCCTTTAAAGTTTAGCCATCTTTCTTTGAGTATTTATTAGCCATCAATTCATAACAGTGATCAGTCATGTCCATTTCATTATTTTATGCTAATTAAGATAGTCATTGATTTCTGACCCTATTCATTCTGATCTTTCGCATAAGAAGAAAGTTATTTCTTATTCACAGTTCCACATTTTTCTGCTAATCAATCTGCGAAGATAACACAGAATAGATGATGATAAAATAGATTAATAATATATATATATGTATTTTAAAGAGATCTTTTGTTTTTGCTAAAGCTAAAGCGACAGAATTTAAAGAAAAACACACACAAAAGTAAAAGAGAAAAATGGAAATCTCTGATTATTATGTGCCTTTTGCCGCTGCAGCTGTGAAAATGTTCGGAATTCCAGTCATTTGACCCAACCAATTAACATTCATTCAACTAATTTTTGAAAGAAACTTCACAGGTTAACTAATAACATGCATGATGTTTCACGTCTCTAGCAGAACAAAAAGAACTGAGAAGTGCGCTATTCTGACAATAGTATGCCTAAAACTGTGAAAAAATTAGTGACAAAGTTTCCAACTTCGTCAAATCCGTGGTTCTTTTTGGATCGAACTGAGATAATATCAAGATTAAGTAATTAGCGTAAATGTAAGCAAAAGATGCTTTTTTTTAACTTAAGAACAGGAAAAAGCAAGTTAACAAAAAATATTTGAAACGATGAAAACATCAACAGCAGCATTTTCAAGAGTGAACAAAATGGCTCAGATGGTATGCATGCCATTTACTATCAAATGGAAGCAGTGAATTCGGGATGACACCTCTGCATTTAACGATTCCAAAAAGCATCACTCCCTTTTTTTCGGCACAAAAAAGAATTTTTTTATGATGGTATACTGCAATATAGCTGAATCAAACATATATGCGCAAGCATGCGTACATAATATTTGATAGATGATTTAGGGAAGCAAAGAGATGGAAGTGTAAAATCATGATAATCAAGAATGCCAGGTAACAAAATTCCTCATAAAAATTTCAACTAAAATTTCATTATGACAAACATCCTTACAGAATTTGCAGCAAAAAATTTAAAATTCTAGCTTAGATAAACTTTATCGCCGATGACATTTCCCGAAAAGAAAATGAAACGGATCCGTCGTTTACGGAAAACCCGATGGAAGGACAGATAGATGAAAAGAGAAAAGGCTATTGTGGATAATGAATAGGGGGAAAATTTGCGGGAACAATCTACTGGTAACAGCAATTATATCTCAAGGGAGTTGTTTGCTTCATAAGGTTACTTTTCATCCGCAAATAAAAAATGCCATGCAAATCTGTCATCACCGCTTACGGCATGGATAGCAGCATTTCAGCATCGCAAAAAGCATCAATAGCAAAAATCATTGGACCCCAGAGAGCGTGTCAAAAAGTGCCAACAAAGCGACAGAAGCTTTTATAGATGACTAATCGACAAAAGAGACCCAACATTCATATCACATAAGCATACCCATCTATCTATTCGATGTAATATCCGCCTTTCCCTTCCCCCCTCTTTTGAAAAAATGGAAAAAAATGCTACAAAATCCCAAATGCTTTACTCATATATTCCAGGCAATAACACCTGACACGATATTAAATTCAGAAGAACGAATCAGGAAAAGATTATGAAATGACGGAAGCATACAATGATCTTTAAGCTTACGACGATATAAGATTCCTATGTGATAATGCGAACGCCGTGCATGCAAGAAACATGATTTAGTTGGGCATTTTTGCAATCTAAATGCTACATTCCAAATTTATCTATTGTAGATGAAAAAATAGTAAGAAAATGAATGAACTTTTCTATTGCTTTATCAAATTTCCACAAAATACTAAACAGCTCAACTTTCAAATTTTAAAATCTTACTTGAAACCATATTTTATAGAATCATGAAATGACAAAAGTCTAATATTTGATTACATTCTCGGATAATTGTAACATTATTTAATTAATGAACTGACTTGTTAAAAATATCACTTTTCGGTTCTCAATTTCTAAAAACTCAAAAGCATAATAAATGATTTCCATTACTGAACTAAAAATTATATATCTAAAAGATTTCATGTCAGGATGACGACCATGCATTAATGTCTCAACAATCAAGTGCGCTGGGAGGGAGTGAATAATTCTAAAAGTGACAACATCGCCCATCGAAAACATCAAAATCATCTCATCTTTTACTATGATATTTGTGATGTCCAGGATTTTATCTTTCCTCTCCCTTCGTCATGAATTACCCTCTACAGCGCTGATTCTTGAACCTATGAAAATGCCCACTTTTATCACTGATACCATTAAGATTTGGCCTTTCTTCATTATTTTCAAAGGACTTCACATTTGAAATTACCACAAAGTCGACTAAGCAATTCTTTCCCCTACAAAATTTCAAAAATCGACCGATTCGTTGTTTTTCTTTATCACAAAACTTACTAAATTCATTAATGATAAAACCATAATCATCTTCAACAATATGGCAATGATCCCTTCAAGGTTATTTCCGGCTTTATCATCCTGTTACTGTCTTTCATCTAACTCTTATTAAGGAATAAAGCATACATTTATTTCTCAATCCACACAAATACCACTGTCAATTTTCCCCACATTGGCACATTCCAAAACCATCCATGCCTTTTTCATTCACCTCTGACCAACATAGCCCGCCTAGTTCATTAGCATTTCGGAGTAGTATGCAGAAGAGTTGAAGCGTAAATAAGTGAATCTAAATTCGGTTGATGCACCTCAAACTCTTATAAAATCAAATTTTGCTCGTTTCTCGATCGGTATATGAAAGTACAATAATTGAAAGTCCATGTTCATTTCGTTCACTAATTCGGCGCGCACTACAGTATTATTTTCTTCTGCAAGAAATTGAAGTGCAATTTAATTCAGCCATATCGAAATCTTTCATTGCAATCGACCATAATAAATAGAATAAAAGAGAGAAGATACTACTGTTGCATTTTAAAAGATGATAGTGGTAAAATTTTTGATTCATATCATTGAAATTTTAGCAAACATTCAGTCTTTTTCGCAACTTTTATATCTTAAGATATTTTATAAATCAAATGATTGAAATAATAAACAGTAAATGAATGCATAAATAATGAGAATTACTTATTTAATATATTCTTAGTCGACCAAAAATTCTAACTTAACAACGATGCGTTCGTTATTCATGCTCTTCGCTGGAATCAACGCCAATGTGATTACCGGAGATTATCCTCCTTTATATGAAGATAATATTTCATATTTCACTGATTAATACAAATCGTAAAGTGAGGCAATGAAACGTTAGTATGCAAAGCATACACAAGTGTAGCGCTTACAAATTTCTTTCGTATCTTCTTGCTTAATAACACAATGATAAAGTGATAATAATAAATCCTTCAAACCACTCTAGTATGTGTATATGAATGTAGTGTTAAAATGAAAGATTGAAACAGATTTTTTACTACTATATTTTCATGATGACATAGCAGATTAAACTGATTCGTCACTCAAACTGATTGGTCATCCAATTAAACTAATCAGTTACTCATAATCTACATGAAATATATGTGAAAAACTACCTGCTTAATAATATATGTTAAACTAAAGAACTTACTAACTGTGATGCTGTCACTCGTAGTAGGTTGTTGCACAAATCACAAAAGTAGGTGGTTTAAAAATCTTGAAGGATAATAACAAATGACAGTATTACTTTTGAAGAAAGCTAAATAAACGTTTTTTTGCAATGGCGAAAAACACAACGTATAACTGTAGTGTGAATCGAAAAATAAATGTAGTGTAATAAAATTAATAAAATAACTGTAGTGAATCCAATTTATAAAAATAAATGAAGTAGATTTCAAACTCCGTTTTCAATTTGACAAATTAGGTATGAATTTCTCTTTCATTTGAAAAACTTTTGATGTAATGATTACTGATAACGAGAATAGGGTGATAGCCTAATATTAAAATGTTATGAAGAAAATACATTTTTATTCGAATACGAAAATGTATAACAAAAATAAAGGAACACCAAAAGTGATATAAACATCTACCCTGGAATCTTCTATTGAAAAGCAAAAGTTCAATAATAAAAAGGCCAATAAGCGTTTTGGATAAGATAAATAAAAAAGACGGACTAGAAATCATATGTTATTTTGACAATCAGTTACGAATTGAATCCAAATACTTACTTCTTGGATAAATCCTCTCTCGAAATCATCTATCTTCCAACCAGTACGTCGAATGATTGCCTCAGCTCGTTTTCTTGTCAATGTAGATAATGCACGGTGTAATAAAATTTTGATACGAATTGGTACCGCCTGCATAAAAACAGAGAATTTATGCAAAAGAGGCTCATATTATTCATATTATTAACTTCCTTTCCAAGACAATAACATAGAATTAGAACGAAATTAAATTAGGACAAACTACAGCAAATTCTGATAAATCCTGAATTAAAACGATTTTTTAATGCCTTCTCGTATAGAATGAAAAAAATAGGTGTTATGAAACGACTCCGTATGACCTATAGAGAGAAATGTTATTTATAAATGATGAAGAGGGGCTCATTTTTGAAAAACTTAAAATCTCGACTTCATGATTAAATTTTTCTTTTCATTTATAGATTAAATTTTTCTTTTCATTTACATCATAACAGCTAATTAAATGCTCTATCAAAAGTTCGATTAATTTTCTATCTAAATAACTACCAAAATAAATAAATACAAAAACAGCCCTGTGAGACTAAGAAACTTATGGGGCTTTAAGTAAACACTCCTGTTTAACAATGTTTAAATAACCTGAAATAAAAGAAAGGGATCAAGCACCTGGAAACCATAAAGTGATGCGAATGTAATAGCTTCGATAAGATCAGTCTGATCCACCGTACTACTATTACCAGCATTTACTGCATTTGTGATATCACCCGAATTAGCTATCGCTGATAAGCCACTGCCTGATAAATCACTCACTAAACCATACTGAATCCGTTTTTGAATATTACCTACAACAAACAACAGATATAACGATCAATAATTAGTTATCATATTTAAAGAATATAATGACTCTGCAAATATTTAATGCCCCGAAATTCTGATGATGATTCAACTACTCCTTAAAATTCCTGCTAAAATTTCGTTTCTTCTATTATGATTAAAAAAAGATCTGGAATGCGCTCTCAAAGTCACAAACAAATAGAAAAAATTAAAATTTTAAAGCAGAAAGCAAGGATCAATATCCGACATTATACATTTCACATTAAACGATAATCGATGTTGCTAAGAGATAGGCAGCAGAAAACAAATTGAAACAATCACTTGAATTCCATTTGCTCACAGATACAAAAAAACTTTACTTCAACTAATTTATAAATTCCTAATATAAATCAATTGAAGTAAAGTCTAAGACTTTTATCATTAAGCCTTGTAAATATTCTGAATGAACCACAGCGCCATGTAAAGGGAGAACATAAAAATCAAATGGATCATTCTGAATTCCAATTTCAACATTCCATGGTTCCATCAGTCTCCATTGATCTCTCTAATTTGTAAAAAATTTCGACTACTCGATAATATCTTCAAAATTTCTGAAAATTGAAAAAAAAATACAATGCGAAGATAAAACATACCAGAAGTAGTAAGTGCTTGATCAGATTCGGTATCAATTGTTCCTGTACTACCATTTCTAAACGCTGCATTCAAATGTGGCAGCATTGCTGGTGAAAGCAACATCGAAACGATAATAATAATTTGTTTGTTCTTCCGAATAATTTATCAACACTACTACTACCACTTATCTCTTAACTCTTTAGCAGTTGAGTAAGGTAATACCAAACAATATACAAACCTGCATATCTAAAATAATGCTATTTTTTAATTTATAAAATTATAAAAAGAGTGAATAAAATTGAAATTATAAGTGACTCGAAAAATATGTTAACTTAATGAATTACACAAATCTATTAAGGTAACATTAACATCATTATATATGCTCCATATGCAATCACAACTCTATCTCATGTAATCAATACGGAAATGTAGCCCTAATTTTGCATTCCCATATTTTTTAGCACAGTCGAAAAATCACACACTTATATCAGATATATATTAGTTGAAATCGAACAGAAACAAATATCCGCTATATCTATACAAGTACTAACCAGTCTATTCATGTCTTGGCAAAAATTATCAACCCTTTAAGTCTAAATTATAATTCATTTACAGAGTGTAATATGGTTCGTAGGAATGACAAAGCTAACAAATTCATAAAAATTGAACAATATTTCACATTTCAAATTTGATATAAACCATACATGAATATATACAATAGATTTGATAAATTTTAATTGTTAAAAAACCATAAAATGTACAGGAAGATTTGATGATCGACACAGTTCGCCAATATATCAGTAGTGAATGAAATCTCCAGCATCAAATTCTAGTGACAGTGGTGGTAGATATGGTCACTGTCACATTGCTGCTTACCTTCCTTCCCCATTTCAGTGGATGATGGTGACGATGCCCATTCACTTATACTCCCCGTATGCACATAATTTTCTACTCGCCTACGGTAACTTCTATTCTCTCTTGTTTCCTTCTCGAACTAGCAGTATCGACACATAATATACACACGCCGACAAACTCATTCATCTATTCTTCCTTCAGCCTACTATAGTAAAAGCAAGAGATGTGACGCCGATATATATATATTCCGACATATTCGTAAACAAAAGTACATGATATTTCTGATGGAAGAAATGAGCGTAAAGAGTGTCCGAAATGTAAGGCTATGATGAAAAAGCTATAATGACCATCATTGATGAAGCAACATAGACTGTGACTGTTGATGAAATTTTAACTGATGTAACTTTAGCGGAGACTTTTTCTGTTCAAATCTCTTATCAATATTGCTTCTTTAATTTACTCATCAATAATATATATTATCAATAATACTAACTTCTGCTTTAATTTGTTCAATAACACTATCACTTTCTTGCACGAAGATGGAAGTGACGAGATATTCCTACACAAGATGGATACATCGACTATCACTATTACTGATATGTAATTGCATCACTCCTCTTGATTAATGTCAGAATTATGTCATGATCATATGATTTAATTCATTTAACTGTTTGAATATATCATACAAAAACGTACCCTTTCTTCGTCAACATTTCAATACTAATTGGAATAATTTTATAACTGATATCTCTGATGTTTAATGTTCACTTTTAAGCCAATTTATAGAATTGCATTAATTTGTCGCGCAACTCTATCAATAAAGATTGATATAATAATAAGATCCTCACTGCGTTTAACAATTATTCCCTTCCTTTTGCCTTCCCATAGCAACAACAATGGATTGAACTGTGAGAAATATACGCCAGCACTATAAAAGAGAAACTGTGCGAAACATCCGCCAACACTATAAAAGAGAAACTATGCAAAATATCCGCCAGCACTGTAAGAGAAAATTAAGTGTAACAAGTAATGAGATTAAGCAATAAATAACGAATGGTATTGAGAAAATAAAATTCATGCATTTTTGCAACCGAGTCGCTTAATTCTTTGAACGATAATATGCTGCTATTAGAGAGAAGTGAACGGTCTCTTTACAGTTCAAAATTGTAAACAACAGCCCTCGCTATGATGGCAGACTCTAAGCAGTCGAAAGACAGAAGACTTGAGATGAAACAGGTGGAATGAAAGAGAACGTAGATATAAATGATTGTTAACTAGCAGATCGGACGAAGGTTTCTGGGTTGGGACAGTTGTCTCACCTCCAATTGGCTTTCCTTCCTGAAGCAGTACCCTACTCTGGACAGTTGTTGTCCTCTTCTTTCTGCTTCCACTCTCGAAAACGAAAAAGTCGCCCCCACTTCCTCTCCACACCTAAAATGCCAACGACAAATGTGTAAGTATGTATCTGTATGACGCAGAGGCGCTCTTCCTTCAGCTTATCCATCTGCTACCGGCTCCTGTCATACTTGAATCCCACAACCGACAACACCATCAACATCTAACCATTCGTCAAATCCCATTCGACCACCGCTCAATCCAATACCTCCACAACAACTTTAACATGTGTGTATGTGTATGTATGTATGTGGGTGTTTGTGTGTGTGAATAGTGCACACTAAATGAGACAAATGGGTTCAAATGGTGTCGGTACATGGCTTCCACGCAAAGCGGTCCGAAAGATATCATCGGTCCGTTCACCCAATGAGATAAGTATTTCGACAAAGCATACATCTATATCATACACCCATGGCTTCTCCGAATACTGATGATCCGCCTACTTATTACTACATCTTTGATGTATGAAAATAGCGCCCGAAGAAGCTCCTACGCTGAATGAACTTCGCTTGTCTCATGATTCATGTTTAAAGTGACATCAAGCAAGCGAAATGATATGATGTAGAATTAAAAGTAATGTCATCTTAGATTCAGAAAACCATTTTTTGAATGAATGAAGATTTAATGAACCAAACCGCACATATTTTTATATGATTTCCCAATCTAACCTAAAAATCGAAAGCAAAAACGAAAGCTGCAATACAAGCATACAAAAATGTTTTTAGAATTATACACAAGTCAAATATCACTATAAGGAATAGCTTAATCCAAACACATATATCGTGAGATAAGTATTCCGAAGGACCAAAAGCTTCAAAGAGAACCTTTCATGAATTGTATGAAAAATGAAACTAGACGGAAATATACCATGACTTTCACTTCCATCCGGGATCGTAGCACTAATCAAATTGTTAAAATGTAATAAACAAGCTGAGCATTTATTACCGATGAATTTTTCCGAAATGTTCGAAGATCAATTTGATTCAAAAACAATATGTTTGGTTATTTTTTTCTCCTGAATAGTAAAATTTGAAAAAAGGGATAGCAATAAGATAAAATAGTTGAAAGTGAAAATAAACAAATTGATAGCGGAAGTTTTGAGAGTGATAAATGTATAACAATTGGATGCATCACATATGAAGAAAAGATGATAACAGTAAGATTAAAATGGAGATCATTCCTGAAGACGATTTATATGTGGACATCGATAGCAATCCACACGACAACAACGACAATAGCAACAAACAAGTTAAGAAGTTAGCATTTTAGCAGTAATGGATTTATTCTGTGCTATTCTGTTCCAATCAGAAGAGTGTGATGCAGTGGAAAAATGATGAAAGGTTGTAGAGGAGCAAATAGGAAAAAGTACAGGAAGAGGAAAGAGAAGCGGTCTTGGTGGTGATGATGGTGGCTGATATATATATTATGTGCTCTCATGGGGTGGGGTTCGGTAGCGGTAGCCCACCAGGACGACAGCTGACGACAGTCATCGTCCCCATAGCCGCAAACCGTCTCATATAAATTGCCGAGAAGCTACTTCGCCGTTTGCCTGCCACAATGCTTAACTGCGCTTCGACAGTGTAATAATTTGATGACACTCACAGATTGAAATGTTTCACCCTCAGATGTACTTCCGCAACCATCCAATAACACCCTCTATCGTAAGCTTCTTCCCACATAACATCACCTCTCTTACCGCTTTTGCTAACAAACTAAATCTGAAGTGAGAACCAATGAAATTTTACACATTTATTTATATCATCAATGATACTATTACTAATTATACTTTCATTTTGCTTTTAACCTAACTATTGAATTCATACATACTTATGCGTGAAATAGGTAATGTCAATAAAGTTGACTGCAATTACTATTATTACTGCTGCTACTAATATTTTTTTTGCAATATGCCTGTCCATTCATGAGAGGAGAATATACCCATTGTCAACTCGTCATCGTCACCGTCCAATCCATCCATCCCATCACTGCTTTCTCTCTCTCTTCAGTTCACTTTTCTCTTTCGTCCTACGGTAGCATTCATCATCAACGCTTCCAATGAATCAAGAAAAAGTGCGATCGACGTAGTACCATCAAAAAACGTCGAATTCTCCGATACTTTCGCACAAAAAAATCATTTTGCATATGCCAATAACATTCCATAGTTTGCGTAAGTGAATTAGAGAGAAAATAGATGCAAAGAGAGAGAGAGAGAGAGAGAGAGAGAGAGAGCTTTGACATTGTACATTAATACAATAAGAATTGTCTTCTATCGGTTAGCATTCAATGCTGGTTCACGTATTTCTAAACGTAAAAGAAGTCAAAAATGTGAAACCATCATGTTACATATATGCACAATAATGAGGAATTCTACTAACGATTTTCTTGATTCGCAACGATTATCTTCCTAAAATAGTATTGCTCCTGATGAACAGAAGAATGAATCATGCCAGTTAAAGATGAATTTGATTTGGCGTACAGAATGTATAACAAGCATATCTTTTATACGCGAGAATAATGCAATTGACAGCTTCGTTCAATTCATGAAATGATTTATTTTTTTAAATCCATTCAAATCTTCCATATTTGATAACATATCGAAAAACTTGTGAAACACGTTATGTACATTTGGTAATAGACGCGACGTAGAATGGTTATTGCATAATCAACAACGAAATAACACATCAGAAGAGTCATTAGTGAAGAACGGATATGAAGTAGGAGAGGACGTGAAGTATTGATTGCTTTAAAGTTGGATGAGAGTGATAAATACTATTAGTATCACAATATGTCCAAGTTACCACAAAAGAAAGCCCATAAGCGCACATGTCGCCTTGTTGATCACATAAAAAATACTCGTAATCAAAGCACGGGAT